ATGCGAAGGGAAGGGTTTCGAGGGAAGGGAAGACACAGGGGAAGGTGGGCGAGAAGAAGAAGACCGGGGCGGCACAAAAGAAGTCGATGGGAGGGAGAGGCAAGATGGCGGGAACGAGCAATGAGGTGATCGAGATCAATGAGGAAGGTGATGAGCGAGACAATGACCCGGAGGGCGACAAGGAGAGTGAGCATGCTGGAGAGGAGGATGGGGTTGGGTATGGAGACAACAAGGTGTGTGTGATGGTGTTTAAGGCAGACTACTCGCCTGATAAACATGTCCAGTCATCTGACAACGAAGAACTCACCCTCCCGAAGAAAAAATGAATGAAGAAGGAGATGATGCAGGACCTCCGGCTGATCTTCTCTGTGCGCGAGACAGTTGTATTTGTGGATGAGGAAGAAGGGCGCCGAGAGGAGGAGACGGGCTCATGGTGCTCTATATGCCGGTACGTTAGGTCATTCCATAGCAGCATTGGGTCAATAACATACCGGTTAGTGAGGACAAGGGGTTGAAGAAGACAAAGGGGAAGTGGGCGGGTTTCTTCCGAGGCGGAAACTCGACGCTGCACCGCCATATCGCGAGCGCACACTACAAACAATACTCAAAGCTCTGCCAGGAGAAAGGTATACAGGAAAATGAACGAGCAGTGCCAGACGAGGTCAAGGATGCAAGAGCAGCAAAGGAGAACCTGGGTGGCGGGAAAAAGGGGGGCCAGACGACGCTCGATGGTGTGGTGAAGAAGGTTGAAACCCCGACGGCCTTTTCGGTTGAGGGAATTCTCGAGGCCGTGACACAGCATGTCATCTGCGGTGACCAGGTACGTAATATTGTTTTTTGGAAAGCCGTTTTGAATCAGCGCCTCGCCCATTCTCCACCAATGAGGAGCCCGGATCTCCGGTTTTCAACTGCTTGCGAAAAGAGTCTATCATTCTTTTTTGAATCACAATAGCTCATATCTGTTTTCTCAGGCCCTTGCTCTGGCGGATGACATTACATTTACAAATTGTCTGGTCATAATGCGCCCGAAGACCATGAAAGCCGAGTTGCCGTCCCGCTCAACCATCCGGACGAATATCACCAATAAGTTTGTCGAGTATATGGAACGCCTGCGTGCCGACATAGCAGCCGCACCAGGCGCAGTCTCATCTCTCTGTGACACTTGGACCGCCCCACACACCTCAGATCCCTATATGGGATTAATGGTACAGTGGATCGAAATCTCGTTGCACGGCTCCTGGGGTTTCCGAGACGAGGTTGCCGCATTTCACAAGCTCTTAGGCGATCATTCTGGTTCCAATCTCGGCCACTATATTATCCTTTTTCTCGATCATTGCAGGGTGACTTCTAAAAAGGCACACAAAGTAAGGGTGACGTTGAATGAGTGACAACAATAGGCTTATCTTTGTATCAGCTCGGACACATGACGAACGACAATGCTTCAAACAATTATACGAGTGCAAAGGCCATTGCAAAGCGGCTTAAGAAGCACAACATTGGCGCCGATTGGCATGCGCTCGAGCGCAATCTCGGGTACGTTATGGGCGTGCAATGTTATATAAGGTTATCGCTGAAAACAATGTATCTAGCTGTTACGGGCACATTGTGCAGTTAGGTGTCGAGGACTTTATGGGGGCAATCACACAGAAGGCTGTTGTGGAAAACAAGCAGGCAATTTGGGAGTATGACCCGACATTGAAAGAAAGCATTGTCAACGGGGGCCTCGATGTTATAGCCATTCTTCGGACCTTGGCCGTGAAGGTAAGTCCTTTATTCTATTTTAGGAAAGGCATTATTTGCTTCTGCGAAGTGCGGTGCACTCTGGATGCCGATTTAGATCAGGATCCAGAGTTGACCCGGTGATGAGCATGCATACATTAACCGACTCATTTGCAGATACAAGCCTCTGGACAGCGCAAACAGCTGTTCCAGAAGCTACAGCTCAAGGAGGAGGAAGGCCTTCAACGGCCTCTCAACCTCATCCTGCACACGAAGACCCGATGGCTGAGTGCCAGCAGGATGGTTGAGCGCTGCTACAGGCTAAAAAAGGTATGTCGTCTCCTCAAATTCACACAACGGCGTCCGTTTCCTCGGGTCACTGCATCCGCCTTGTTCCCCATCTTGTTCCACGCCGCTCCTTTGCGACCCCATATGTCGCGATGCCAGCGAGGACGAGACCTTTCTGTGCATAGGGTGTTTCATAGACCGTTCGAGGATCGCAATATCGCAGAACAAGCCCGCCTTCAAGAGCAAGGTCGTCTCGCGGGCACACGCACATCCCTGGTGTCAAACCAGGGGCATTCTCATTGTCCGGCACACCAGCCTCTCATCGCTCCATCGACACCCTACTCTGCCCAGTGCCAAGGGACCATCCCATCACCGTCGTCACCTCCAACACTGGCGTTTCAAGTCAGAGGCAGTCAATCTGTGCAAGCAGGGCGAGTGCTCGCATCCCCCACCTCCCTGAGTACCCGCCTGGCTATGGACACCACTGTCCGGGCTGCACCGCAGTGGAACCACGAGACGGCGATGCTATTTGACGTCCCACGTTGCCCGTCACTCCCAAACTCTTCTCTATGGCATGCACTGCTCGGCCAGACATGCACCGAGCCTCATTGTCTCTCCCATCATTCTCTTTGCCCGCATATCACCTTGCTAGTGTCGGATCGCAACATTGTCTCATACTTTATCCCTGCCTGCCGTCCGTCGAAGCACAGCGTGCCGCTCAAGTCCGCCTGATCCCATAGCGCCCTCTGCAGCCGTCTTGTACGACCTGATGACGATGAGGTGCGTTCGTCCATCCTTTCTACGCCTCAAACACCATACAAATGTCTTATTGTCCTAGCTCCCTTTCACCGCGCCCTCACCCACAAGGCCTACTTGCGCCGCACAACAGGCCACGATCCGTCGCTCCGCCACAGATTATATCTTGCACCACACTCCCCTCATCCATCCTATCCCCCGCATGCACCCTTCTGCCTGTTACGACTGACTGTTGAGCGAGTAAGTGGAGACGAGCGAGGCAGGCAGGAGCGCCGACGAGCTCTGATCGC